AATAATTTTGTAGAGTGTGTGCCAGTAGCCCCATTTTGCGAAGAGCATTTAATTTCCTATTATTTGAAATGCAACTCGTTAGCTTAGTTTATTGTCACCATACCGTTGCCATAACGATGCAGCTGCTAAGCTGGGTACAATTTGAATGGCAGAAAACAATCTCTAAAAACCGTTGGTGTTTACGTGTAATAGTAGTAGTAATAGTAACCGTGCCACTGATAGTAGTAGCAGTAGTAGCAGTAGTAGTAGTAGTAGTAGTAGTAGTAGTAGTAGGTAGTAGTAGTATCAGTTGAGACAAACAGAAAAATACGCCAGGCGAGCCACTATGTAACATTCAACGATCATTCCAGGTAGCTACCAACAAACAATGTATTGTAAATGTTTTGTTCAAAAAAAAAAACAAAAAAAATCTGTATGCAAATAAACATAAGTATGTGTGTTAAGACATGATGACGCTGAAACCCTATTTTATGTAAATTAAAAATACGTCGAGAGATACGGATATTTAACTGCATTCATCCTATGGAAGAGATATTTAAATAAACACGTACAAAGCCACATACGTACGCGTATACAGACACAAGCAAACACTTACACCGCGGTACTAAGGCTATGTTAAATAAATATACTTACAGAAACAAACGAGCGCGAGCATACGCTTGTGTGTGTGTTTCCATACATGTACGTTTGTGTCTGCGCATATATATAGTCTTAATAAAAGTAAATGCTTTTGAGTACATATATATATATATGACTGTAAATATGTTTAGAAATCTAGTTTACGTTATTTTCATTTCGTGCTTTTCGCAATTCTCTCTCTCTCTTTCCCTTTATTCGCCGAGTGAAACCCATTGTTTGGTTGTCGTTGTTATTTGCATGCGCTGGTCGTATTTGTCCTTTACGTTTTTTTATAAACTAGCAATTTAGAAAAAACGAGAAAAAAAAAATAGCATAGAAGAAAGACGCAAGAAAGAAAGAGGCAAAAAGAATTCCCTTTAGAAAAGTGTGTCATTTAAAGTTGCGGCTAACACAGCATCTAATCCAAAAGTTATTAAAAAACTAAAGTAAATATAAAGAGAAAATAAAACGAAATGAAATGAAACCAAGTAAAGTTTCGCCTTCGAGCGCAACACTTGAATATTCATTATTACGATTTGCAATACATCTTATGTCTAAATTCAATTTATTGCTTGTCCCAAAAGTAGATCAATGCGAAGAGTTACGACAAACACTTACGTAAAGTGCTCTACTTATGCAAAGTATATATAACAACACTTGGGTTTCTTAAATTAAAAGGTTCATTGTTTAATAAATATTAAAATCGCAAGAAATCCGGTTTTGGATAACTTTATCCGCATATCGAACGAAAAAGAAGTGCGTTACATCTATTGGAAGCATAAACTAGTTTTAAGAGAGGGAGTGTATAAGTAGTACTGTGTGATGATGAATAACGCTAAGACTTTTCTATCTCAAACTAGAGAGAGCTTAGCTAGCTGTAAGCATCTGTGTAAATAATCGCACCAACATTCACAAAGAACAGTTTTTTTTGGAATTTTTGGATTTGTGGAAAACGTAACTTTTCTTGCTCACCCCTAACGGCAGTGTTAAAGCCTTACGAGCGGCGACTGATGTGGACTCTTTTGGGAATGGCCTCAAAAGAATTGACCTTTTTTCTGAAAATTGAATTCGACAATTGCCTGGGAGTTGAGACAACGCTTCGATTAATAATCTATTCATTCATTTTCTGGGACAAAATGGTGAAGTCAGCCTTGAAGAATGCTTCCATTAATCTGTTCATTTATTTTACTCTAAAGTAAATACATTTCCGACCATAAAAAAAACGGACCAAGGTAATTTGCACTTCCAAAAGTGATTGAAATGAGTTTAGAAATTTTAAAATGTTCCCTAAAGTTGCAATGTTGCATAGTAATTGATCGATCCATGCACAAGTGGAAATACTGTGGAAGCGTTTAGTTTGAATACAGAGACGTAACTAAAACATCAGTGAAATTATCGCGAAAGATATGTACTTTATGTTAAACTTGAACGAGCCCAGTGCCCTATAAGCTTAGCAACCTCTTCTGTTTTCCTTTCTCGTATAAGTTACGCAACAAAGAGAAATAGGCAAAATATTGTCATTTACTTTTTTGAAATTTATTTTTCTCTCGAAATAAATATTTATTTTACGTTATTTAAAAATGTTATTAAAAACATTTTTTTTCGTAAACATTCATTAACAGCGATAACCTATTTTTCATTTTATATTTTAAAATGCGTGCATGCATATATATATATATATATATATATATATATATATAATATATATGATGTCTCTGAACAAAATTCCTTTTTATCCGTTATGTTCAGGCTGGCATTCATTTTAATTTGATCAATTTTAATTAACTTTAACCATCGTTCGATATTAACCGTTACAGGGTAAATTATTTATAATTCTCACTCATTATATAATATTGAAAAATATCCATATACGGGCGCAAACATATCAATTCATTAATCGCATACTGCTGAACGCTATCCTGCCTCTCCATAGAAAAGTAAAAAGAAATTAAATAATAAATATAATTTAATTGATTGAGCATGATTTTAAAAATTCCTGACATTTTTAAGTTTTAAGCCGAAACTATTTATTAAATTTTTATATTCATCAATATTTATTTAAGTAATTCGCTCTCATCAAATATGCAATAATGGAGATTTAATTTATACAGTTTTTACTTACATCATCGTACCTCTCCTGCCCTATAGATAATGATAATGCTCTTTCTATTGTTTATCATCATCAAATAGTATTCATGAAAAAGATCGACATCTGCAAAGGATGGTTCTGATCACCAAATTCTTCTTGGCATAGAATTTTAAAATTGAAGAAAAATTTAACGACGTAGATAGAATATGAAGAGTAGATAGAATACCAAGAATTTCAATTGTCACTATTTACACTTTCACTCTTTTTTCACGTGAAATTTGGCGCGTCATCGATTCGTAACAATCCCAATCCCAATAACTCTTATACAGCTGCTCTGCTGCTCTTTTGTCTCATTCTTCGTTTTTCTCTTCATCTTCGTGCTGTTCTGTTCGCCTCTCTTCTATACTATTCTTTACTTTCTTCTGCTCCCGCCCTTCGACGCTTCTTATCTAGTCTTCTCTTGTCCTTTATTATATTGTCTTTCTTTCCAATCTTCTTCTTCACTATCCCCTTTTTCGCAACTTTCCTCTTATTTGTTATTCCCTAACACAACATGTTGTAGCAGTTTAAGTTAAGTTTGTTCGGTAATTCTAGTACTTAAACACACCCATCTCTTATTAAATCGACTAATTCAGAATTTGTCCGTCCGTCAAAGGAAAATTTGTGTTCAAGATATAAGTCACAATTTTTGAGATATTTTGATCAAAATATTGACATGTTTGACTTCACGCTATACAAAAAAATTGCCAAGAATATAAAATTTTACATGAAAATTGGTACACTGACATACTAGGACAGACTCTATTGAAAATAGTTTTTTTCTACCTTCTCAACTACCTACCCGCAGCATAACGGCATCTTTTGAAAAGCCATTATCTGGAGAGAAACTGCAATTTTTAAAATTATTCAACCAAGTTTGCTGTGTAATAATACTTCGATATCCTAACTAAGTATGAAAAATTGCAGCGATTTTTTAAACCCCCTCCCATGTAACCGTTCACACGAAAATTGAATCCATTTATATTATAAAATCTATAATTTTTAATGTTTCATAGTGAAAATTGGTTTATAATAAAAATTCACAAAGAAATCGACTTTTACGAATTTGGACCATGTTGGTCTACTTTTTGGACACCACTGTGTATAAGGTATCTCGAGAAATGTAAACCGTTGTTACGCTAAAAGGTCTAATTGTTAAAAGGTTAAATTTTTGTTGTCTAACATTTGTTTATGGTAGTAACTAAACATAAAATTTAAGTGAATTAAATTTGGACCACATGGGTCTATTTGTTGGGCTCGACTCCATGTCAGGTTCCTTATGAATTTTTAATATTTTACCATGAAAAGTGGTTCATAGGGAAAATTTACCACAAAAAATTATCGATAGGGAATTTGAATCACATAGATCTACTTTTTAGACCTTAGCATACATGGACTTCATCACGAAAGTATACCTTTATATGGAGAGAAAGTCGGATTTCTAGGTTTTTATGACGGAAATTGAAAAATAAGAAAATTTTTAGAAAGTGAATTAAGTTCGCTACTTGTGAATCATGTCATGTGATGTTTTGGGAATTCCCCAATATGTGCGCTCTCATCAAGCGTACGTTTTTACATGGAAACAAAGCGTCTGCTTTGGTGTATTGTAACCAAAAACGAGTGAATAACTGTTGTACTAGACGAAGCGTTGTAGAGTATCTACTGTGAAATGTCGGCTTTAAATTTTGTTACCAAATTATTGGAACGCTCCGTTCCTTGATATCCAAAAGGCCACTGTACCTGTTTACACTTGTTTAAGCAGGAGGGAGTTCTAGAAGTTATTTGAAAGTTATCTAAAAGAAAAAGTCACTTCTTTGAGCTGATAGATCAAGTAAGAGTAAGCAGAAGCCCAGCTGAGTTCATTTTAGTTGGGCTATTGTCTTTGCGGTTACTTTTCTTTTCTTTTTGGAAATAGCCCTTAACCCCTTTACTAAATGCTAAGTAAAGACGAAAACAAAAGAAAAAAAAATGTTTCGACGTCATTAGATCTTATGAAAGATGAAGATAAAAAGCAAATTTCATTTATTATTATACGAGCGAGAGTACACTTTATTATTAAATTCATTTTTGTGAGCTGCCTGATGAAGGTGATCGATTGCCTTAATTAAAGTATAAATATTTTTATTTTTACCCAATGTGTATGTTTACCGCCATAACAATAAAAAGAAAACTATTTTTCAATTTTATTCCTATAAATAAATGTTTCTAAAAAAGAGAAAAAAAATATATATATATATATATATTTTTTTTTTTTTTTTTCAAGTTACGAAAAACATCACCATTTTTAGTTAGCTCTCATGCATGTATCGTATGAACTTTATTCAGTTGCTGATGCTTGCATGTGAGTAAAGTTTTCAGGTATTTTCATTTACGCGTTATGCATCCATCAAACAGTATACACATGAACATGTAACGTTTTTATAAAGTGGCATTTTCAACGGCTAAAGATGCCTTCATTGTCGTCATCATCAGCGAGAATAAGAACGATGTGAATAATGAACAGAAATTTTATCAGCAAAGCAAATACATTTACTTAACTATCAATCACGCGCGGGTACTGAACAACGCAAAACGAACGATGAAATTTCAGTGAGCGATAAAGAGGAAGGGGAGAAGCACTTCAAAAGAATAACTGGCCGAATTAAGAAGATGAACGGTTTTTTTGCCTGTTCTTTGCAATTTGTTTTTTTTTTTTTTTTTTTTTCCTTTTAGATATCCGAGTATGAACAGGTGAAAAAGGCCTTGGAAAAGATGACCAGACATACGAGTAAATCAAACAAAGATAAGTGTATACGCATACATACATATTGGAAACATACCTGGCACCGAATACGGGGAAGGATTCGTTGATGGCAGCCAATATGCAGAGTTTATTGACGGATATGGTTTATACGAAGGTAATAATGTTAACGTAGTTGCGCCAGACGTTTTGGTTAACGTTGATAGTGACGAGGATGAAATCAATGCAGCCACCGAAGCCGCTGTAGCAGCTGACACAGCGGAAGACGAAGTAGAAACAGAAGCCAATGAGCAACTACTATTGCTGCCGTTACAATTGCTATTGCCACCACCTACACCACTGCTACTATTGCAACCGTGTTGGTTATTATGGGATAAATTCTCAATTATTGACGTTAATTGACTGTTTCTGTTGCCGACTGTATTGTTGGCTATATAACGTAGGCAACTAAGGCTGTTTAAATTGTTGGCAGTGAACGCATTAAGGACGTTCGGCGTGGCAGCGCCGAGGATAGGAATGGTCGTGTTGGTATTGCCAACACCGGCTCTGACACTTGCTATATTACCGTTGTTGCAACTATTATTTGTAAAAGCCGTCAATGCAGACGACATGGTAGACAAGTTTTTTATTAAAAAAAAAAAAAAAAACATTATTTTTTTTTTGGTTTGATTGTCATACCATTTACAACAATATAAGTGTTGTTCATATTACGTATACACGTACATATATACGTAGATAGTAATATATATATATAAATATATATTTATATATATATGTACGTATTTTTATATTGCATGTGGGCAGAGTTGGAAATATGCAAAAATATTTATCACACACAATGACGAAGCAACAAATAATAATAATGAAAATTTTATAGAGAAAGCAAACGAAAGAAGTGAAGATGAGAAAAAAAAAGCGAAATGAATATAAATATGCGTGAGTCCTTTAACTCAATTTACATAAACGCATCATTACTAACACCAACACCCACGCATATATACATATATATTCATATATTCATACATATATATGAGTTGTGTCCATGTGCTCAATGCAATGTTGGCTGGAATGTATGAAAACGAAAATTGCCTTCGCATACGTGTAACACAATTTAAATAACAACAACAATAATAATAATAATAACAACAACAACAGTGAAAACAAATGTAAATTTATACACTTTACATACAAAATATAAATATATCTATATGTAAATATATATGTTTGCGTGTGTGCACATGCGTTTAACTGTCACAAATTAAATTTACACGTTTTTTATCACATCAATTTATACCAACTTATTATGCAGCATCGTAGTAGTAGTAGTAGTAGTAGTGGTAGTGGTAGAACATTTACATTTATATCATAGTATGATGTACGCATACATACACAAAAAAAAAAAAAGACAGTAAAAATATACTTCGTTTTTGCTTTGGTTGGTTGGTTGGTTGGTTGGTCGGTTGGTTTGCTCACTCACTGATGCTGATTGCAGTTAGGCAAAAAGCTTACATACACATATGAGTAAATGTGCGTACCGTATTATATACACATGTAATATTTTGTATTTAAATATTTATTAAGTGTGTGATTGCGTTGGAAAACACTTAAAGCAACACTTTACGTTTATTTGTCATACGCATAGCGTACAATCTCTTCAACTAAACAGAGTTCCCAGTTCTGCAGGAGGCAAGCATGTAAAGTAAGTAAGGACAAGTGCAATACACAACAAACAACCAATAATTGTTTCTTAAATTAAATAAAAAAATAAAAAATAAAAAAAAAATAAAAAAAAAAATTGAGAAAAAAGAATATAGAACTTTTTCAAGTACTATTACTAGCAAAAACAAAGGATTCTGTTGATGTCGCTATTGCTTGTCTATTTTAATTTATAATCAATGAATGACACGGCAGTTAACCATAACACTTTGTTATTTAAATTTATATTATTATTATTATAATTATTATAATTTTCATAAATTTTGTTTTTTTTTTTCTTTTTTTTTTTTTTATTAAATAACTTCAATTCACATTTAATTGTTGATTAAAAAAACACGGTACACATGTATACACACATTTATATATATATATATATATATATGTTATGTATATATATATACTTATGTATAGACAAAAGTCACATTGCTAGTCATTAATTATGGTAATATATTGATTTTTATTATTGCTTTCATTATTATTATATAACATAAACAACAATTATTGCAAAGTTTGTAATAAATTTTGTTCAATTTTCCTTTTTTTTTTCAATTTTCTGGGTTTTAAACAAAAGTTTTCGACAATTAACACAACAAATAAGTTCTGAAAAAATTTCTTAAATTTTTTTTTGAAAAATTCACACTTAATGCTCCACGTCGTCGTGTCGTGTACATGTATCAATTGAATGTCTCATCTGCCATTTAATCAAATCGATTTTATGTGTGATCACTTGCCTTTATTTTGCTCATCATCAATTTGATGCCGATACTGCGGGCATATGCGCTTGCATTCATTGTATTGACAACATTTTGCACAGCATTGCCTTACATTTCATCTGATTGATAGATGATTACGATAGCTTTTGCCAATACATTAGCATCTAAAAATATCAACAAATAGTCAACAATCAGACGCGACATCACAGTTTCATTTGGTACAAGAACATAGAAAAAAAAAAAAAAAAAAAACAAAGCAAATAAAATTGCAAGCATCTCAAAAAAAAGGCTGTCATAGGTCAGGCGGTTGACTATTGCAGCGAATATGGCGGCTTTCCTTACATTTTCATGGCACACACACACATATATATATATGAATACATTTATAGTTACATACAATTTAATTTATTTTTATCCTCACTGTTCTTGTAAACACAACACACCACTAGCACCATACAGGGTCTAGTGAAGCACCCCACACATACCTCTTTAATTTTTCTTATAAAAATTCTTATAGATAGTTAAAGAATGCAAAAAAACTTCTTTTCCTTTGAAAATTTGAAAAAATGTAGAAAAGTGTAAAGCTTTCGACAATAAAAGAGGTTTTGTTTTTATATACATTTAATTGAAAAGTTCGTAGAGCAAGCATATAAAAGTGTTGCAGTTGAAATAGGAATTAAAAATTGATGCACGCCTCTCCCGTCCACTTTCAATTAATAAATAAAAATTTACAAATATATTTTACGAATGTATGTCAGTTGATGAATAGGTATCAGAACTAGACTTTTAGTTGGGCTGGAAAAAGAATCTGCACAAAGTAAGACCAACGTCTATAAGAGATCAGATACCAGCAATAGAGTTTATTGCAGGAGTATTTTGTTCCAATACCAAATATATATATTAAGCTACAACTTTCTATCCGACCTTATGTAGAAACATTCTCTGCAACGACAGATGACTAGAGAGACTTAAAGACACATACGTCAGAATTTAACGATATATTTACAAACTGTGAAGATTTCTATACTTATTCTCCGTTAATATTTTAGAATTTAAACGGACAACATTCTTCAAAATTCATCCAAAATTTCAACTTGAATAACACAGGTCAGTGTGCTGGGACTGCCTCTCTCAGGAACATGACGGTAAGTCCAAGTTATTTTATTTATTATGTAAAATCGTGTTCATTTTTAAATGCTGCGCCTATAGGAAATTCCATTCTCAACTTTTAAACTCTTCTGAACTGAAAAATCTAAGTACGAGTCCTTGAAAGATATTCCTGAACTACGAAGGTATAATGAAATGTGCTACGATTAAGCACAAGGCTAATGTTCTTAACAGCTCTCGCGCAGAATTGAAAAATAAGAATACTGAAAAGTAGCTTTTCGAATTTTCTTAAAATATTATGTTCAAAATCATATTGTACATCATCATCGGATTGAAAGTACAATAGAGTTTAATGGGTTTCGCGAACACTGGCCAATTATTATTGGGACGAGTATATAAATTTTGCTTTTTAGTGTATACAGTAGTTTTGCCCCACACAACACTTTTTCTAGAGGATATATTAAGTTTGTTGGGACATATGCAACAGCCAGAAGGGCAAGCAGGCAGACAGGCGCATCTTTTATTACGGCCCTCTTAGCTTGTCCGTTCGGCTACCCATCTGATATCTACCCATTTTGTTTTACGTTCAACCTACAGGTCGAAATTTTTCGGATACTTTCAGGAAATTTGGTGCACAGATGTATTTTGGCCCAAGGGCAAACGCCATTGCAAACGATTCGGGTCTGACAACTTTTCCGCTGCAGAAGGTTGCTAGCATTCTAAAGATACTAAAAGGCAATGTGTATGTTCACAATTTTCCTTGAAAACTTGGTCATGCGAAAATTGGTTCCAATCGGATACCATCTTTACTCAGAGTGGAAAATATTAATTTATTACCGATTCGAAGTGCTGTTTGCCTTAACCGCAATGAGAACAATTTTTTCTATTGTATATGATTAATTCTTGTTCGATCACGCCATTCCTGATTTTGAAACGACCAAACCTCCTTATTTGGGAATTCGCACATGTTCATCGGCTATTGTGAATAGAGAAAGAACAGTAAATAGCGATTATAACACGCATGCAATTCGAGTGGAAAAGAAAAATTGCCAAAAAACGGTTCTAAATGCGGAACAAAATATGCACGGGGTCGAAATTCGAATCGCAATATTTACATGCATTCATGTTTGAATTTTTGTTTACCTCTTCTCTTTCCACTGTTTCAAAAGAATGCTTTAGCCAAATACAACACAATAAAAGGATGAGCGCATTTTGAAACAACATCGAATTATTCGAGAATCGTTAAAGGGATTGCGTCACGCTTAACAGAAATCACGTCTCTGAGTAAAGTCGAATTTTGCAAAGAAAAAGAAAATATATATTGTTAACGGACACATATTATGGATAGCACAAACTTTCAAACGATATAAGTCTAAATATTTTTAAGATAAATAAAAAGAAATTTTTCATACGATATATGATAATGAATGAAAACAGTACAAAGTCAAGTCAAATGAGCGGCAAAAGACGAAAGATGTCCACAGCAAAAAAAAAAAGCGGCAAAGGTCGACTTCGATTATTATTATGGCGTCGGTAGTTGGGATGAGCACGTTATAATAGTCATTGACTATCTTGAAAAAGCATATTGAAAAAAGGATCAATAGCACACTACAAGTGCGTTTGAAAAACGAAATTGAAAGAAAAAAACGGCAAGTTATACCGGAAACTTATTGAATAATAATTGATATTAAAAAGAAAGCATAAGTCAGGCATACGGAGCGAATGAGAAAAAATTTTCATTACCGAAGCAATAACTTGAAAATGTGAAAACAAACCTCAGGTTAAGAGAGAGAATATCTTATAAGCAAATTAAAATTTTTCAATAGTGTATTTTAAGTGTAATTGCATTGTATTGCAAAGGAAAACCAACTCGCAGTTATAGTATATTTACCATTACCTAGTTTTACCTATTCTGGAAGTATTTTTGCCAATTATATCGTCATGTTATCACTCATTTATAAACGTTGCCTATTTAGTTGAAATGTGAAAAGTCAAAAAAGTTTTAAAATGCTTACTGTATTAAGAGATATGAAGCCACTTACTGTTACCTTCAAATCCATGATCAGCTAATAGCAAAAACTAAAGTGAATAATAATTAGATCGTATTACGTAGCTGGGAGGATTTTCACATTAACACCCGGTATTACTTAGATATATAGATTTAATAAAATTTCGCAATTCAATTGAATACAAACTAAATAATGTTGAGAACAAAATATGTGACAGCAAATGCATTAGTTCTACATATACATAGATCCGTAGAATACTTAGTAGTGTAATTGAATTATTTTAATTGACTTTCAAATCTATTTAACGTGTGAACGCAAAATTTTATTTATTTATTTATTTTTTTTTGTGTTTTCTTTTTTTTTTTTTCTTTTTCGTTTTCTATGATTTTCAACTTTAACAACGAAATTAAGTTAAAAATAACACACAAAAGAAAAGGAACATTGTGTATATGCGCAAAGGCCAAACACACGCTGAAGGAAAATTTTATTTAAAATAAATAAAATTATTTTCAATTTTACGAGTTTTGTTAATTGTCGTCAACAGCACACGAATGAAATGAGACAATTACATCAGATAGGATATTCTATTGAATAAAATTGCAATTAATTATATTTTCCAATCGAAAATTTTCTTTTATACGATTAATTGGGCGATATAATGTAATGCGGTTGTGTCACACAGCGCGTACTACTGATTAACACAACTAACTAACTGAGTGACGTTTTAAGTGCAACTGATATTTTACAAATTTGTGGTTGATAATAAGACTCTAGCTGCTTAGCAGCAATGCAATGCTAAATATTCTGAATGCTGTTTACGCTTCTCTAAGCACAATGCTATAATATAGATAAAAAGGTGGTAAAGTAAGGATGAGTGCAAACGTGAGACGAGGTAAAGAAAAGGGGTGCCAAACAAGGTCTAAGATATGCTGCTGACAAAGCCACACATACCGCATAAGAATGTGTTTATTAAATACGTCTCTCCATCCGTGATAATGGCATTACAGCAGCAATAATACATGAATGTGACTCGTAATGACTGCGTTTATTGTAATTGTTATTGTCTAAATAGTGTGATTCATGTATTGGGTGGGTAAGAAAGTATTTCGACATATATTATTGTCATTATTATTCTTCTGCCAGGGTCAGTGGACTTTTCTTAAAGCAGTTATTCACATACGTAGTTGAGTAGGTAAAAATCACAATCATCAAGTCAATATTCGCGGGTTCAGATCTCAATGCGATAGGGTTTACTTCGGTAGTACCTACACTGAATACTCAGTTATTAAAGGCATTTTGTGATCGATCACCTTATTTTTCTCTTTTTCATCACTTCTCTCCGGCCTTCACCCTGTTACTCGAATAGGAGACACCTGACCACAAATGACTGATAATATCGCAAAAAAAAAAAAATCTTTCAAGGAAGGAACGCTCCTCTTAAAGAGCTACGCATAACAACGGCAACTATATTGTTGAACAAGACTATGATGTCAACATTTATCGCCGGATATAGTTCAACAATTCATAATCGTCAGGATGTTCATTAACCTTTAGTGGTATTCACGCGAACTTATTGATGATTGATTCAGAGTTGATGAAGTCACGCCGCTTACCGTATAATTTGATTGCTTAAGCTTGCTCAAAACTTCTTCGATTCAGTTTTCAACTGGTAGCGGCTTGAAGCTCTATACGCAACGACTCATAAATTTCTCGAGGAAGTTGCAAAGAGTGATTGAATATACAAGTGTTCACTATTAAGATAAAAAAAAAAATAAAAACATCTAAATAGCTTTTTGGCCAACTTAATTCACCTCATATGTTATTTTGCTGCTTTATGTTATACATATTGAAACGTTTGCTCTTATTTCATTTAAACATATGCATATTAGCATCATTGCAATGCCTATTGTGTAAGCATTGAACAGGCAATTATTAGACAAAGCGGGTGTTAATTACACATTTTCAAGTATTCCTATGTTAACCATCAACAACACGCTTTGTTTCGACAATTAACCGTCAACAAACAATTACAGCACTGCACGGTTAAAAAACGTATTCAAATTCACGTAATCTTAGTAAAGTAGGTTAAGTATTTTGTTTATCTCTGAAGAGGAGAAAATAAAACCAAAGTATATCAATCAAAAGAAAATAACATAAAGAAAAGTTCGATAATAGCGTTGCAAAAATTTTCTTCAACACCCACTAACTTGTATAGTATAGTATATTGGCGCCAATTGTTACACTATACTGTACGCTATGCAGCACAATACATTATTATTGCGTACACATCCATCCACCCGCAAAACACTTGAGTAGTTTTCGTTGTTATTTAGTTTCAAGTAAATAGTTTTAAAAATATATATATATATATATACATATACATATATGTATGTATGTATATATAAGCAAAAGTGTGATGATGTTCTGTTTAGAGAGATAAATTTCTACTTTTGAAACGAAATTTTCTACAAAATAATTACGGTGTTGTTGTTTTGTTTCCGATGGTTGTTTATTTGCTAAGTACAAAATCTCTTGTCATCGTTTAAAAGTTTTTCATTTCACAATTCAACATTGGCCCCACCACAACTGCTTCAATTTATTTCAGTTTTGGAATTAAGTAATTAAGTTCACTTATTTGTCCTTTTGCCCGAAAGAACATATATGATAATGAATGATTTCTCTCATCATCACATTTATATTAACGGATTCGTTTGCAAGAATTTGATCATCCTTTTCTTTTGTTTGCGATCTAAAAGTCAACTTTCCTAAAAGAGTCAATTTTTCTTCCCCTCTATGTCCGAATTAAATAATAAATCAATTGAATCGCCCGTAATAATCAAAAAAACATAAACATATAAATTAAAGTTTATTATGTTCCTTCTAATACTTTGTAAAATATGTTGCCATCTATGCATTTTTAAGATAAAATATCAAATACATTACAATAATGATAATTAAAAACGTTTTGTAATGACAAGCAAAACACTGGCTTTATCTAGCCATCAAATGTGCTTGTGGGTGACTGGGATAAAAATACATTGAGCAATTTGGACTTCAAAATTTATTTTGTCCACATGCATTGCAATGATTCATCGTTTGAATGGTTGTTAACCTTGCTTGAGAGTCTTTAATATACCTTAGCTTTTCTTGGATACGATATTTTTCAAAGTTTTTTTTTTTGCAGACTTTTTTACTCTCAAGAGCCAATGTGTGCGCGTAAAAATATTTCCCTAAATTTCTTTCCACATTGGGCAATGAAAAATTTTTAGTGCTTGAATTAAATGCAACCCCTTGAGGTTAGGCATGGATTCATGGACTCAGTTACATATTATAAAAAGGGATCTTATTTTAGGCACTTGTGAGCTTATTTTAGGCACTTATGTAAGCACTTATTTCAAAAATAGTCAATCATTCAAGCTTCGCGGACTTCCGCAGAATGTAAGAAAGAGAGAGAGAGAGAATTTTGGCTATCGTCAAATCGTCATCGATTAGGACTTGTGCTAGGGAGAGTAAATACAACCGGGAGAGTAATGCATCACAATTCAAAATCTTTCTTAAATAACTTTTACAACGATATAACGACTTCTCGCATTTTACACACACGTCACTGATTGTGGCTCATGTTCCCATGTTCGTTTGGTTAAAGCAAAGCTTAATGCTTTATATGCAGCTAAGGCAGCTGCGAAATGTGGCTATTAAGAATTTACGAAATTGCTACCGCTTTCTTTGGTTTAAGCTTTAAGGCAATTTCGTTCCGCTTTTTAGCATCCGGTATGGGTTAGCGGCGCTTTCTTTTGAAAAATAACCCTCCATCGGGGTTTTTTTGCCACAAAATTATTCAAATTTCCAAAAAAAACACGCTTCATGTACTCACTAGCCCGAAAAAATGCAAGTACTTTACGATTTATAAAAAAAGCGAAGTTTGCAGACTCAATGCACGATTTTTCGATTCGTAATTCGCTACAAATTTCTCTACAAAGAGAGTGCAGTCGTGAATTATACCGAATAAGTTGAGACATAAAGACAAGTGTTTAATGGTTTAGTTTTGTAAAGCGCCAGCAAATTTTTCCTTAAAGCTGGACGAATATATTGAAACATGCTTTTTAAAGCAAAAGTGAAACATGAGAAGCTGGGGGGGGCTGCGTAATAATTTTATCGCTTGATTTTGATTAGAATTAGGTATACATCAAAATCTCTCCGCCAAGTATTCGTCACTTAATTAACTGAAAATTCTAAATCGTTTTTACTTTGGCTTTATTGACCTTCCCGTTACGGCAAATACAAGTTTTTTTATGTTTTCATTTTTAAATCCAACTTAAAACACTACTAGGATACTAGTAGAGTAATAAAGAATTTTCTGCATTAAACTCCGCAATATTCAAAAGGGTTGTTAGTGTAATAATGATAGGCAGCAAACATCACACTATCACCACAGGATCTTTCGTATTGAAAAAACAAAAACAAAAAGCAAAAAATCGCACACCCTTAGACAAATCATTACCACACATGGTGACCTGTTTTCAATGCTGCTACTGCTACTGCCACTGCTGCTGTTACTGCCATTGTTGTTATTCTTGTTGCTATTTTAGACCACAATTTTGTTTGTTGTCTATGGTTGGGACATTCTTGCAGCTATGGTCTGGTCATTGGTTTTATGGCTTTTTGGTTTTTTTTTTTTCTTTTTTGCCAAGCATTTTAATGGGTCACCCTTCTAAGAGAGTTTGTAGGTTGATTCCGATATTTTATGTGTAAAGGTCAGTAGTAAAATTTAAGGAAAAATTGCTTTTCTATTTTTTTTTTTTTTTAATATTCGAAAATATATTTATATATATATATATATATGTAAGATGTTGAAAGGAAGCTTACCATTACGATTTTCACTATCGGCGGGTTTCATTTGTATGGGATGATACATCTGGAATAGGAATAGGAAGAGCAAAAAAAAAAAAAAGAAGGTTAATATTGCTTAAAGTGAATAATTTTCATTTTTTATTCTTATTAATATTTTATGATGACTATTATTATTGTTATTGTTCCGTTCTTTAATGAAATCCATTTGGTGCCTCATGAATTATGAAAGCTAATGAAATGTGTTATGTTTTATGTACTTTTCTCGTATGTTAAAATTTAGATAAAATATGTATGACTTGTGCAGCCATTAACGCAAACATTCATAAAAATGTATTTATTTATGTAAATGTATGGGCGTGTGTATGTGTTTTGTGCATTTAAAACATTTTTCTACGCATTCTACGCGAACAATTTCAAGTGGTCGACAACATATCCGCAATTCAACATTTCCGCTGTGCCACAATCCATGGCCAGAACATTAGTCTTTGAATTTTATGAGTTTGCATGCACACATACACAGACACTCACACACACACATACACACACACATTCATATAAGAGGCAGAAGAATACAAGTAACAACAAATACAAACGTACGTCACATATTTACGCATGTGAATACATTTTAGTTTAAACACTAACACAACACCACCACCACCACTTCGTTTTACTAAATATTTAAGCTTTTACTCTGTATTCGGTGTACTTTTCCCTTCTGTTTTTTTTTTTTTTTTTTTTTTTTTTTTTTTGGATTAGTAAGCGCTGCTCTCTACATGACTTATAACACAATATTTCCGGCGCTTTAATTTAGACTGCAATGCTAATAAATCACTAAAAATAGAGTGGAACTAACTATAACTAACTCAGACAAGCTAAGGCTGCTGCTTTAAAAAAAAAGGAAAACTAACCATAGTCCTCTTACATCTCCTTGTATTATTACTGCCTTTCGTTCTCTATCGTATCGCTAGCAAAGTTAGTTAATATTTAGCGTTTATAGCAAATTTACTTTTAATCTTGTTTTAATTAGAATCCACGAAAAATGCAGCGTAACAGAAAGCATAAATATATATGCGTACTCTTAAAACGTATTAAAAAAAAAAAAAAAAAAAAAACTAATTTAATAAAGAGCAAAATTTTCAAAACCTTCGAAACCCTTCGTCCTCATCACATCCTTAACATTTTTGAATTCTCACTCCTTTGTTTTTTTTTTTTTTTGCTCTTCTCTCGCATTTGATGTGATTTTTAAAGATTTTATTAATTTTTTTTGTTTTTTTCCTTTTTTTAATACAAATAAAATGAAAATTCTTTCCCTTTCTTTTTCAACTTCTTTTTCATTTTCATTTCACTATTTTAAATGAGGAAAAATACTTCAACCTGAAAATACTTATTTCACTTTAAAATGTATTATATACACTCTTCTGATGGGGGAAGGGGGCGGGCAAATTAATCGTTTAGCTTTTCGTTACCATTTTTCAAATGTGATTAACATGGAATGAAGTCGCGTGTTAGACGAGTATACAACTATTGTGCTCTAGCAGGGAAACGGAAAAAAAGAGTTTAACTGAAATTCATTCCCTTCAGTTGTAGTTTATAACTAAATTTGTTTTATAAAATAAAAGTAGAAAAAAACTATGCAAGTTTACTACATAAGCCATATTTTTCTAAAATTAAAAGTTTATGACTTTTTATGACTTTCGTTTGTGCATTTCGTTTTTATTTCTTACATATCATGCTCGCGGCCTTAATTTTAAAGGGAATTTTGCAAAATTTTCTTTTCCTTTCATTGAATAATCATTGCCGCGTCGGTCTAAATCAAAGTCTACAGAAGTCTTCGGAAGTTATTTCTTCTCTTATTTACTCTACCCAAGATAGACTTTTAAATACTTTCTACTGATTTTCATCGTAGAGTCTAAAAAATTAAACTTTGGATGTTATAAAAAAGTAAATCTTACAAAAAGTACGAATGTTCACGAAGGAAGGTATTCAGAAAACGATTCCATTTGCATGCGATCTAGAATCAAAATATACCACCCGTGTATCAAGATACCTCTAGATTGAAAACAAATATATGTGGACAGGCAGATAGACAGAGATATACTTAAGTGATTCAGCAAATGTTTCCACGTCAAGCGCTTCACGGTCTTGCATACACATGTCATCATAAATGCGGAGTACAAAGAGAACGCGCTACCACCGAAAATTTTTCTTTCTTATTTTCACGAAAATTATTCATTTCATTGCTTTCTCTGCAAAAAAACTCACACTTAAGTAAGAAAGATTTCAATCAAGCGCTAATGTTCTTGAGGACACTCGATCAATTATGCCCGGGCAGCTATTACGAAAAAACGTTTATTTTTCTTAATTCGACTTAATCGATCAACATAGGAAAACTTTTTTATAGGACGATAAAATCAGTCCAAAGCTTTCTCAACATACCGACGTCTATTTGTAGAACGGTTTATAAGTCTTTTAAAAAGTCTTTCCTGAGTTTCCAGAATAAAATCATCGAAATGCTCATCCAGGATAGGGGATACTTTTGCGACTTGACGACAAGCAAAAAGCCCTAGAGACCAGACCCGGAACATGTGCCACTGCATCCATCGATTGACGATATTGAGACATTCGGTTCCTTGTAAACAAAAAGCTTCCTTAATAGCTTTGTCATGCATTGAATAAATCACCTCTTAAAGACCTGGAAGTTCGCTTAGAAGTTCCGCTATAGAGAACACTTTTTAAGATTTTTTCGACGTGCCCTCCCTTGATAGCGGTCACTGTGTTTAGTATCGTCATTGCCAATGCGAAACCAATTGAAATCCATCGACAAGCTGTTCTTTTCGATGAAAAAGATTATCATAACACCTATCAAGCTGTTGGTAAATGTAAATGATATCATCTGCTGCAGTGTCGCTAAAACCCCTGTAACTTGCAAGCAATTCGACTTTGAGGTTCACGATTGGTTTCAAAAAATAAGATGGGTCTTCGGGAAGAGAAGTCATTTATGTGTCGCTCTCTGTGTTGTATGTCGACCTGGTCTCAAAAATGTTGCGGTCATTGCATTAGTGGACATATCGAACAGAGATACGTCTACTTTCATTTCCCGAATAACATGGAATCCTGCGATACTATGAATACCAAAATTCGTTAAAGTTATTCGTTATAAGGTTAAAGTTTCTGTAGTCAGTGCAGTTATTTGCAAATATCCATGATAACGATATGCGCTCATTTTAGGCGTGAATGCAAATGTCATTGGGCCCATATCCGTGTTAAGGACTTAATCTAAAATCTTTATAAATTGTCATATATATTTATATATATATATATATTTATTTTTTTAAGATTAATTAAGCATTTTTCAAGCGCAGTTTTCTTTTCATTTGCTACTTACTTGTTTATTCAGCTACAAAAACTAATTAGTTATAATTTTCGAGAAAGAGAACGAGAAAAACCTACAATTCCTATAAGTGTTATTATATGCACACTGCATGTTGGGTACGGTGAAGGGAAGGGAGGGAGAACAGCTCCACACATAAAAACATAAATTTTATAAACTGTTTAGTAAATAATTGCCAACCCAGGCGGAAGTGACATGTATACAAGCAAATATTAACAGTTTGTTCGTAGGTTGCTTTTATTCTCCATTTTCTGCTAATTTTTTTTTCTTTCTTCGTTTTTTTGTTTTTTTTTGTTTTTTGCCTCCTAAGCGCTAGTGTATGTAAATGTGTTTGAAATAAATTGTTAAATAAATTTTCTGAAATCATGAACTTACCCCATTTAAGGTTTTTACATTGTGTAGGGCATCTTGAGCTTTTAAGGCAGCACGGCGGGTATAAAACGTCACAAAACAACAACCTGATTATATATATGTAAAAAAGAAAAAATAATGAGAATAGAAAGAGAAAGTGAGAGAAAAATTTTAGAAAAATAATAAAACGTAAAAAATGAAAATTGTAAGGAAAAATGTTGTAAAAACATATTTCATATCTTAAAATTTAACAGATTTTCTAAGCCAAGCCCCGCACACAAAAAAGAAAGGCAAAAAATCCTCCCATAACAATTCAAGTAATGGATGTTATAAAATGTCATAAGGTCATCCCGAAGCAATGGATTTCAAAATCGCAAAAAACAAAAAAAAAAAAAAAAAATATTAAATTATGTTTTCCGCTTTTTGCTAGCATTGCACTAACAAATCACAATTTAATATCCTTTAAAATTGTCGTTAGATTCATAAAATGAAAGCAATCCATTGCGTAGAGCTGTAAGTGTAAGCGAAGAAAGCGAAGGGAAATTGTGTTGGCGGTAAATATGGTTGCAGAAGAAGGAGAAGAGGAAGAATATTTCAATGTTCTTAAGTCGGATATTATGACTCACGTTTTTTCAATAGTTTTTCTTTTTCTACCATTTTTTTTTTTCTATTTTTTCTATTTTTTTATTTTGTTTTCCTTTATCAAGCACTGGATAAGTTAGTGAGTGTCATAGAGGAAGTAAAGTTATAAAAAAGAGGGAATTAATAATGATATCCTTTTAAGATTTATAGTTTTTTGCATAAATCATCATCAAATGTGTTAGAGTCTCTCTACGGGAGTTGAATAAAAAATAAATATCGTTTAATTTTATTATCGTACTGGGTCAGTAGATTTAAGATTAAATAAAGATGATGACGAAAATTGAAGAGATGACGATGAAAAACGAAAAGGAGATTATATATATATATATATTTTTTTTTTTTTTTAAATTAGCCGAAATCCCTCGAGAATTATCGTTTATACATGTCACGCAGTTTTGTTTTGTCTTTTTACAATTTTCAAAAGTTCACGTATTTAAGTTAATCATAATCATTAATCATCACAGGCAGAGATTTTCAAAGTAAAAATAATTGTACTTTAAATTTGTCGATTTGTACGAATAGTCACACAAACTGTGATTAAAATTATTCAAGAACAACATGTTATTTAACTTATCTGCGGTATGAGCGGAATCGGCTCAATTGCTTGTCTTCACCTTTGTGATTTCTATGACTAGCAAGGAGAAGATTTAAAAAAATTTTATAAGGAAATCGGCTTAAGATATTTCCTTTAGAACATAGTTCCGTCGTATTTGGTTTTTGTTAACTTGGACCGTCTTCTATACTACAGTGCATTATCACTTGCTTGTGAAACACATGCAATGTTTGCGAATTATTTAATGAGCTTTGGGAAACATCTTAAAATATCTATTTTGAAATTTTCTAATATCAGTTCTAGTTTTGAAGATGTGAAAGTCCGTCATACATCTTCACAGAGGCAGGCCTAGTTGATGTAACTGTTTTGCGGTTTCCATAGATGGATTATGGATAGGGAAAAAATTGGAATTTTTCACATCTACTTAGCAATCGTTAAGAATAAAAGTTTAGTGAATAGTCAAAGAGCAGAGAAAATATTGAAATGAGAAGCACAAGAAAACCAACGAATTGGCAAATGAATGGAAAACTCCAAAAAAGGGAAAATTAAAATGGTTGCCTTGCACTTTTAATTACTATACATACTCGTTGAGGCATTACTAAACACATGGCAACTACGTGTTTCTCCAAAGTTAGTTGAAAAATTGACCTCCGTCGACTTACTAATAGCGGCAGGAAAAAAAGTATATTCCGAATAGGACATTGATTAGAATTCAAAGTCTAGTTTCACTCCCGAGTTTCACTGACCCGATAATTCGTAGAAAATGGTCGCCGACTACTAATGAATTTCTAATTCGAATTTTGTTGTGTGCCAGGAGTCAAAGTAAAAATCCGTTTCATTTGGATTCCAACAACAACTCAATCAACTTGAAACTTTTTTCGACTCTTCGAACGTTACCAAAAGTCGTCAAAAACAATCCAAACATACACTTTTCTCAAATTCATTTAAAACAAAAATCTCAACTCGGATCCCAACCAATTACTATACTAATGAAACAAAAATTTCCTACAAATTTCATCTCATTTTAGTTCGTTTTATGCGAGTCCAACAAAAAAACATTTTTCAAATAAAAAATATAAAAAAAACGTATCTCTTTAACTGAAGCTAATAAATATACATTGTCTTATATTTAATATTTTGAAAACATAATAAGAAAAAAGGCGCGGCGGCTTGTACTAAAGCGAAAATGAAATTGAAAGTGTACTAAACAAATGTTGCTTCAAAGGTAGGAAATAACGGCTGGCGTCTAGGAAGGGAGCCGGTAAACCATTAAGAAAAAAATGCATTAACTGAACGGAAGACAGATGGAGAATAGTTACTTCAAGGTCACGAAGGGAAACTCTTGCTTGTAGTCCAGCCCTAAATCGTCATCATTGAAAGACGACTAATATGCATTTGTTGAAGCCAATAAGGTACGGTGCTTATATCAGCCGAAATCCGCCAAGTGCAACTGACCGTAATGTTCAAATTGATTTGACTCCGGGCAAAAAGAACGTGCAACCCGCAACAGAAATTGAGGGCAAAAAAGAAACGCAGCCTTATGCTTCAATTATGCATTGTTTTCTTCTGCGTAATAACTTTTTGACAAGTTTGTCTTAAAATTCCCCGACTGATTTCTGAAGATTGGTGGAAATATTTAAAAAAAAAAAAATAAAAATGTGTAAAACATTTTTCATGTTTCTATTGCATGTATTGCCTTTCCTTTGAAAACAATATCCGCATTATAAACTGCCTTACCACACCTTATAGCGTCCTTGGTGTCTATGTATTTTTTTTTTTTTTTTCCTATTTCCTATACGGATTGAAACGCAATGTTTTCACATAAAATGAACTGAACGAAAGAATACAATTATTAGGATGGCAAGAAAGCAATTTCAATGCCTTCCTTCTTTCTTTCTCCCTCTCTATCACTCTCTTTTTTTTTTTTCTTTTTTTCTTTTACATCTTCTCTATTTTACGTCTTCCTCTCTCGTTCCCTTTCATAATAATTGAAGTCTGGCAAATATATCTATAAGAATTAAAGGGGAAATAAAATGAGGACAATAACGAAATTACTTCCTTGCCAAGCTGTTACATATAGAGAGAGGTATAAGTATTTTTCTGTTGTGTTAAAATCATTGCTTATCTGTCTATACATGAATTGTATAAAATAAATGTACTGGAAACGAATTAATCGGACACGTTAGTAAGCAGTCGGAGTGTCCCTGAATTCAATACATTCCTGCGAAAGCCTTCGATAAAACACACTTCTCCAGACATTACTAAAGCCACCAACAATGCAGACAAGATAACTAAAATAAACTGAAGGATTTTCGTAGTATTATGTAAGCGAGTAAACACGTACCCCAACACAATAACATATAAATCTCAGACATGTATTAGTAAAGCAAACGAATACTTACAAATGTATATATTTAAACATATACATGTGATTTATCCTTTTTGCAAGGGAATGACCGACCATAACCATGACATAACGTACGTGCTGATTAAAGCGTAAATGCGAACAGAAAAAAAAAAAAAAAGAAACCGAAAAGAAAATAGAAAAGGGTGGAAGGAAAATATTTTTTGGCGAAGAGGAAGAGATAAAATATTATGTCTTTGTATTTATTTAATTTTCGAAAAAATTATATTTTAGTCATTTTTGTTTTTATTAAAAACGAATTTTGTTTTCGGTTTTTTTTTTTTTTTTTTTTTTTTTTACAATCCAGCCAAGCTTATCCGGTGTTAAAATGAAAAGCTAGTTATTTACAAGAAATTCCACTTCACTTACAAGATGTAATAATAAGTTTAGTAATAACAACCCGCTGAGGTTGCGACAATGCTTTTACAAACTTTATACGAAATTTCTTTGCAAAGGACATTCACAAGAATTTGAGATGAAAAGAGAGAGGTAGAGAGAGAGAGTGACAGAAAGAGAGAGAGAGAGAGAGAGAGAGAGAGAGAGAGAGAGAGAGAGACAGATAGATAGATAGATAGAAAGAGACTGAGAATGATGGAACAACGAATAAAAAAGAAAAAGGCGAAATTCCTTGAAATCTCAACTTCACAATAACAACTGAACTAAATAAAACTTTGTTAAACTAATCGATAAATCGAGTTGTGTAAAAATAAATTGAAATTTTATGCACAAAGACATTTATTACAATCAGCACGCACACAGAAGAGGTCGGCCGTCCCCCTATCCCCCGAACAACGCCTTCACGTCAGCCCTTTCACTATTTTCCTCTATTTGATTTTATCTGTTTTCTGCAAAACAACAATAAGTCTTTTAAGGATATCCGTGCTTATTGTCTATTGTATTCACGTATTTATCTATATGTGTTTGAGTGTAAACGACTATGTGCCTCGTGGCGTTACAGACGAGTGTCGCACGTCTGTGTGTGAAAGTTCAGTTCATGCAAAATGTTAAATAAAATGTCAAACCAAAATGTCGTTAAGGATTAACACGCTTACGACACTGCCTCCTCATCTCCTCGCATGCTAAGTAAGGTAAACTTTTGGTTAGATTCATACTTTCCTAATAATGAAACCTTATCGAAATTATACGGGATAGGGTAGGGAGGATAGGGAAGGCGAATTTGACATTCAAGTTAAGCAACTTTGCTTTACTGCTCGCCTCTGCACACTATACATTTTCGAAGTTTAGTTTTGCTATAAATCACGTTTAGTATTTTTCTCTAATCGAATTAAAACAATAATGAGCGGGTAATATATTGCGACTCAATTAAGGGTCTACGGCTTTTCTAATGCAGCAACTTTAGCCAATGCAATCATCTAACCAAAACGGCGATTGACAAGAAAATTTTCTCTATAACATTTTACTTAAGCTTAAATTAAATTCGAAACGAATACATCTAACATTGATCTGTAAAGAAGATATGAACTTACTTGCAGAAAGTTGATTTTTGTCTGCCTAAAACCTAAAACGTGCGAATAAAAATGTGATTTTTTTGTTCTAATTTCTCTAAAGAAAACTTATTTCCTTAAAAACTTGAGGGTTGATAGAAAATTCTCTTGCTCCTCAGGAAAATCTTTGCAACTATTAGACTGTTCAAAGAGTGATGTCTTTTTTTTTACCAACAGAGAACTATAAATTAAGTTCTTTGCATAGCCAACTTCACACTTAAAACGCAGAAGACATTTATATCTTGACAGATGATATAACATGGGTTGCTTGAGTAAAACTTCGATTGATTTTCTCCGCAGCCAAAACTGGTTTGTCAAATTTCGATCTTGAAGGTCAGTTGAAGCTGATGAAGGCACAATAAAGACTCATGAGATCGTTAAGATATTAAATTCATCAAAATCGAACGTTCATGATGACATGAAACGTCGACTGTAATTTTGGCCAAAAAAAAAAAAAAAAATTACTTTCCGAACAACCCAATATCTTGATATATAATGAGGACGATTAAATAAAGAGTTGCTTGCTTCTCCCTCTTTGCTTTCTACAACGCACAGCACTTTATCAATCACTCTGTGCCGGAAAACTAAAGAAAATTTATCTTAAGTTCTCTACACATTATGTAGTTAACACTAAGCCCTTAAGTACGTAACACCAAAAGTCTGACAATGACATGATTCTTCAATGCGAAGGAGCACTTTTGCCTAAGTAAGCAAAGAACATTGTATCACTCTTACTAAAGAGCGAAACTCCCAAAATCCGACCATACTAAGAAGACTGCAAGGCTTTCGGTATCCAGAGCAAGGGCAACAAATAACTCGACTGCGAATACAATGGAAAGTCTGAGAACATCATAAAAAGTATATAGCGAAGATTTTCATATTATGATTTTTCAAGTTTTCCATCCAAAGTCAAAAAATAATTGAAAAAAAAAGGGAAAGTTTTCTCAATTCTTTGATCAGCGCTCTTAGGGTTGTTTTATAACAAAAATAAAGTTATTACTGTATAACTTGTTTGCTGGAACCGTTTCGAGAAAATTGAAACGCGATCTGTAATTTCAATGAGAAATACAGATGACAAATTTCACCTCTTACTCTCAAATGGGAAAAAGTCAAATCTGAAAAAGTCTACGGAAAGACTAGACCCCGCTTATATCCATAGGCTTTCATATCAAGCAACTTATTCCCTGCCCGTACCTTATATGTTACAATTGCAAAGTAACTGTGCTAACTGTTAATTTCCACTTAACTGATACACTCTTCAACTAATCTTAAAATCTGTTCAAAGTTTGTGTTTCAAACGTATTGTTAGGGGGCACAAGTTGAGGAAATCGAAAATTCGTTCAAACTTCGTTTGTCAGTTAAGTTAGAAGCATTTTATTAATTTTTTTTTTCTTTAGCGAGTTATATAACATATATAACGCCTTAATTTTCAGGCGAATAAAAATTGTTGGAGACCATGTTATAGAGTACGAAACACTTTCCACCGATTCTCGACTATTAACAGATTAAAAAAATGTTTTCACTATGACGATGATGATGACGACAGTTTTACAAACACTTTTTTTAGAATAAATTATCAATCAGTATTGGAAGTCAATATCTGATCAATAGAGATCAATGTTTCATCAACAGAGAGAACCTTTAAATGCACTGAAAATAATTTTTTTCGGGATTTCATTCCAAGACTTTTCGGATGAAATTAAAATTTTTTCGCTTCATTTCGCTTTATGCCTAATGCGTGTAGAAAAGAAGCACTAGCATCAGAGAATACCACCTCCATATATAGAGCGGACTTTCAGCACACGAAAAGTGTATACAATGCTTTCCCTCTTCCCTTTTTGGGTATAAAATTTTCATTACCACAGGCCCACCTTCGTTTTTCTGTTAAAGAGCTTCCCAACTTTTCCTTCTTCTCAGCACGTTTGTGTTACCTTTCAACATGTCCTTAAACTAAGTATCTTGACGCCGACTCTCTGCTTAGTGTTCTTAATCCACACAAATGACAAATGTTGCGATAACTTATTGTACGATGTTTAACGACACCTATTAACGTGGAAGAAAAGGAATCTTAAGCATCTCACTAATAGTTTTGAGATGTACATCCTTCAAAAAGACCCAACGATATGAAAATCAATAATTCCTAGCGTTTATTTCGGACGTAATCGATAACAGACAATGAGAAATTTATCAGGTTGCGTCCTATGGACAAATTTTCGAAGCTCCTTCTTTAACCGAAGTCAAATTTTGTTTTGTTTGTTTCAAATATCAATTCTTAACATAGGCGGCCCTTTTAATAAAATCCGTTTGCAATTTTTTATCAGCCTACTTTTGTCAGGAGACCAAGAACTTTAATTTAACAGAGAACATTCACGAATCTAGAATAACAGATTTTAAAATGGAACAAGGTACGACGACGCGTGCATACTGCATCTGACAACTAAGGCTCATTTGATTTCTAAAAAAATCGCAGGATTCGAAAACAGTTCGATCAAGATGATCGTTTAAATCTACTCTTGAATCGTACACCAAGTGATTTTCTTTGCATTTAGGAACATCTTACGATGTATAAGATGTATAATTAACTCCCAAACTATTCAATGATTTTTAGAAAAATCCTATTCCAATTTTATTAAATTTGCCTTTAAACGCCTTTCACAGCCGCATGCATTTCGATTAATTTCCGAAATGAAGTTTAAAAAAAAAATTTGTTTCTCCCTTTAGATCGTGCCCGTCGCCTCTTCGTCAAACACCCTCCCTCTATCAACTTTTCATATAGTTTTTCAACCAAAAAAAAAAAAGAAAAAAACCTATTTGTATATAATGAGAAAATACCTTCACTGCAGATGCTTTTTCACTATTTTTTTATTTTTTTTTTTTAATTCTTTTCATTCATATAGTTTTTATTTTGAACATTACAATAAACACGAAACTCTTTAAATCGTTTTCATGTTCAGTGAAAATGTTATCAACGAGACATCAGCGATATACATGAACACACGTACTGTGTTCATGTGATGTTAATTAAAAGTACTATACGCAAGCACTTCTGTCCCACTGGACCCATCTATATGACATGATGTAACATGAAATAGCGACGATTTATTTTAATAAATGTTTCGCATATGTTGAAAAATAAAAAATTAAAAAAAAAAAAATAAAAAAAAAACTATAATAATGAAATAAAATAAATTACCATCATCGTGATCGTCATCATCATCGTCATCATAGCGTTGTTCGAAGAGTGAAGGTAAAGAGTTTGTACATTTTTGCTAACTTAACTTTGTTTATAGATTTTACAATATGAATAGTGACACCCATATACATGTTAACATACACACATATACGCGTATATTCGTTGCTTATACGTACATGAATATAATAACATGTGCTTACCTTTACTGATTCCGGTCGCTTTATCGCGCAATACATTTATCGAATGCACCGGACCATACTCTTCAAACATTTCGCGCAACTGAGCCTCATCCATGGATTTTGGCACTTGGCCAACAAACATTTTGATATTGTCCGGATCGGGTTCTTTCTCACCGAACGGTGTATCGGCATCCATGCGAAAGCATGAGTCCTCGTCCAATACATTGCGATTGGCACTACACGTATTATTATTGTTGTTGTTATTGTTATTACTTGAGCTGGTATTGTTATTATTCAGCAATGATGTATTATTGTTGTTGTTATTGGTATGAATTGGACTATTCGGTAGGCTGTTGGTGGTGCTACTCTTATCACTCATACTAAAGGCACTGAAACGATATAAATAAGAACGAATATGTAAAAAAAAAAACAAAACAAAAGAAAAAAAAAAACATGATGCGGGCGATTTTGTTGCAGGCAGACGGTGAACAATTGACAACAATTGTGAATGAAAACAAAGAAAAAACAATAAAAGAACAACAACAACAACAACAAAAGATGTGCTTACACAAATGAAATGAAAAGAACTCTAAGAGAATGAAACGAAAAACAACAACGCCACTAGTTATCAGCGAACAGTTGTTGTGTGATTGGAGAAGAAAAATAATGATATGTCATTATTGAATAAAAAAAAAAAAACAAAACACTATAACAAAGAAGTTTCGACAAAAAGTCAAGCAATAATCAAAGGGTAGGTGAGAAAAATTCACAATAATTGACCATAAGTGTAGGAGGCAAAGCAAAATGAATAATGTCTGCAGTGCTCGTGAACGTAATAATATCAACAATAATAATAATAATATGGTCACCCCTCCTCCTCCCCCTCCTTCTTAGTGACAGGCGATGGAACACTTAACAAATAGAGTTTTATTGAAAATTAAAAGAAATTAAAAGAAATATCATCGTATTGTATACGAAAAAACTTAATGGAAAATTAATCAATTTTAAGTTATCATCATTTCCTCGAGCAATTTATTTTTCAATTTTCTTTTGCAAAATTACGTGTGTACATGTCGTGCGCACATATACATTAAAAATATTTTCGTTTTCGTTTTTGCTTTTTTTTTTTGCAATCATTCGTCAACTATCGCCATCACCATCGCCATTGCCATCAAAATCAGTAGATTTGCCGAACCTTAAAACACAGACGATGCGGTTAATGACGATAATAATGGCAATGAAGATGGCGTTGGTGTTGCTGTTGCTGTTGCTGTTGGCCTTGGTTGACTTCAACGTTGTCTTCAACGAGAAATAGTAAATAGTACATACATGGCCATGTATATGAGGAGTGTATGTACCAACGATGACTTGTTGGTGTTTGCTTTTACTCGCTTTTTAATGAATTTAATTGAGCGAATATATCAAATAACGAAAATAATACTGAATTTGAGCTGAGCATTGCTTCTTCTGCTTCTTCTTTCCTATCTCTCTCTCTCTCTCTCGCTCTCTTCTCCTTATTGTTACCTTTCGTTCATCTTGTGCGGAGATTTTTCACTTTTATTGTTATAATAAAATTTTTTATGAAAAATAAAATCCGCAAATGGAAACAAAGCGCAATGATATCAGATATTAATTGAAAAAATCACTAATTACTTAAATGAAGTACGATTGAAGTGATAGCTTTTGTACTAAATTGAATTTTGTGGTTCTCATTAAAATTGATAAGTAAATGAAAGACGACAAAAAAAAAAAAAAATGGAAGAAAAAAATTCAACAGGACTGACGTTTTCGTTATCCCTTAAAATTAATCTTTAACTTTTGATTATCTATTTTAAATATTTGTTATTGCTACTTACTCCATAAAAAAGTCATGTCTTTCGGCGAATTCAAATATCAGACGACGATTGCCCATAAATGCATTAGTACTGCCAAACATCTTCACAATCTATATATTTTCTAAACACACTCTCACTCGTTAAATAATAAATTTTACTGTTTCGTAATAAAATTTTCCAAATGACAAAATACACTTTATATATATATAAATATATATATGAATATATATGTATATTTAAGACAAATATATATGTCAACACAATATCGGAACAAAATATTAAAAAAAAAAAACTGTTAAAATTTGTTTCTTAAGGCGGTGTTTATTACAAACAGGTAATCACTTCAAAGACGTCTAGCAGACAAATGAACGCGAATTAGTTAAATAATTCAAGAATATGCCTCCAAGTGAATATTATAACTATATATATATATATGCATGTATGTATTGGATTAAAACTTTCGTTAAATATTCTTCAAGAATTTCCAATAAAAAAAAAAAACAAAAATGTTAGCTTTAAGGAAAATCACAGTTATTTCAAATTTTATTGCGTTCGCGTCTTAAAACGAATTTTGAATACCTCTACCATAACATAATTTCCTAATAACTTTTTATTGGGGAATATATAGCAAATTCGAGAATCGTTTATTCGTTTAAACTGAGCAACTGTTTCAGACATGATATCATTTTGATGAAGAAATCATGCAACGCAAATGGTTTTCTGCAATGCCGTAGATATAAAGCACTAAATAATACACCTTTACCGTTTACCCGAAATAAGTAGCTACACGAAGCATCAATGACGCGTCTTCTATTCACTTGACCTTAAGATAGAAAGAAATAAATAAAGTATTCTTTTAACTTCGTTAGTGTCTTAGTCTTCCCGCTCATGGATTGGAATCTTTGTCATTTACACAAATCCTTGCTCTCTGTAATTTAATCTCTGTTTTTAATCTCTGTAATTTATTGATATATTAATAGGTGGCAATTTTTTTACAACTATTCAATAGCAATAACAATTTGATATATCAAAAAGTTATTATCAGTTCATATTTCACATTCATATTTGCATTTGGGCTTATCTTATCCTTCCTGAACTTAAAAAAAAAAAAATGTGTAAATTTTCAAGATTTTAGGCTTCTTAGGTGAATCGGTGTGTTACTTTCACATTGTGCCGGGATTATATGTATTCAAGTTGTTGAGTTTTCTTCAGTCATTTCAGATTTGGAATATAGACGTAGCACATCTACTTTGGCGCTTCACCGCACAGTTTTCAGATCAATTTTTATTTCCAATACAATTGTGTAGCCAAATCGATCCGTTGTGTTGCACTTGATTTTGCCAATCTCCAAGGCAAAATTGATCAATTGATTCTTGCGAAATCTTACAAATCTACGTTTTTTTCACGTCTTTATTAACATCAAGATTTTAATAATATATTTCAACGGGAGAGGTTGGTCGCATTTTTATAATTTTGATAGTTCTTCCTAGCAAGCGAAGGACGGGAGAGGTTGGTCGCATTTTTATAATTTTGATAGTTCTTCCTAGCAAGCGAAGGATAAATCATCCGGCGAATATAATCACTGGATTCTAATTCCCCCTACTAAACGGCCTGTTTTGCTTAGATCCGCAGCGCCAATTGTAACAGTGAAGGCGAGCACGTTCTTCATAGAAAAAAAGAACGATTTAATGTCTGCTTTGAAAAAACAAACAGAATGAAAACAACATTTTTACTACTAAGGGTATGATAAATGAATAAGTCAAGGAACATAAGTATATCAAACGCTGATTTCTAAGCTTTTCTAAGCAGATTTAGAGAAAGCTTTGCCTTTTTAACATAAAACTTTATAAGCTCATTGCGAATTATTGATTTAATCGTCTGCTACATATAAGTGCCAAAATAGAAATCTATTAAGCAAATTTGTGTTTGGGGTTTTCTATTACTATCTATATTGTGTTAACATCTGTTCCAATTTCTTAACTCTTGCTACAAACATTATGAAATTAACGAAGGCTGATGAGGGCTGTGCAATCTGAGGATGGATTGTTTCTAGTTTTACCTATGATTTGTAATCAAATCATTGCGAAGAGGAAGTGTAGGAGTTATTAACTTTGTCGTTCGCCACTAACAGTCGCATAGTGTTTTGCTACTTTGATTAACTATCTATTCCCTGTTCTTTCGGCGTTCATAAGTTGAATGAACAAAGAGCTTGCATAGGGAAAATTGTAAGGAACCTTGCGCGCATCAAATTAAATGGCGTCTCGCGTTTTTTTTGCGAAGAAACAATCAATTTATTAAAAAAAGAATTATTGCAGAAGTTTTTGTATTCGTTGTCGTAATAAAAAATCAAGATATAGCAGAGGATTTCCAAAAAAAAAAAAAAAGGACCTGCTTGGCTCTGTGATCTGCTGTCAACTTTCGATTTTTTTATAATAAATTTTGCCTTCTATCTAACACTAAAATATTCTATAAATGTAATTGAAAGTGTAACGAAGGCCGTCGAGTTTTTCGTTTAGGTTCGATTTAACAATCTTTCTTCTTATTTTATATCGACAAAACCCGGAAAACTGCTAGTGAATGATGCCCTGAAGTTGGGAGCTTGATGCTTTCAAGCCAATCGGCTAGAAGTTGACAGCTGTAGAAACGCGCCAAAAAGTATAAAGGTTCAATTGAAAAATTATAATTTTTAAGCCAAATAAAAAGTTTGATCTTCCATAAAATCTTTTGCGTACCATTCTTAAATAGTTAAGGTATCCTGTAAAGAATACAAAAACGCTGACGAAACACCGATGATATTACAATTTAATACATATCTCATCCATCTCGCTGGTTCACTAAAAATAAGTACGGACGAAATTGAATGGAGTTATAGAACGACTGCTAATATAAGAAGCTATCACTCCATATATTAATTGCTTATAAGGGTAAATGCAAATGAAGCAAACAAATATTAACATAAGAGCATATGAAAGTCTACTACTAAATATATGCAAATATTAATAAAATATATATAAAATATATATATTTAAATATATATATATATGTATACATAAATATGTGTATACAAATGTACAAATTTAAATTCATATGTATGTATACATATAGAAAATATAAAATATGACAGAAAGTTGCAAAAATAAATCCGATTTAAAATATTTATATATTATACTAATGTATAAAAAAAAAAACGAAACCACTGTTATAGTCGATAGCCTACCATTTAATTGCCTACAACACCCGACAGCCATATACCAACTTTCAATATAAGGGCGCTGTATGGAAAGTGGTCGAAAAAGTGGACCTATCCAACTCATTTCCAACAGCTATCGCCCTCGGTCCAAAACACGGCAGTGTACCAAATTTCATTATAATACCTCCCAAGTTGCCAGCCAAAAAAAAAGAAACACGCAGAGAGACGGACGAAAAAATTCGGATTTTTTCAAGACCGATAGATAAGTCTAACAAACGATGAAGTACTTCTGTCTGTTGCATGCATTCGCAGAGATTTAATGTACTCTTGTACCATAAATAGTGTAGCGCATAACAAAAGTCAA